CAAACTGCAAACTATCTCAATTTGCATGAGGGATAATCTATCTATTAATATGTGATTAGATTGGATTCGATTGATGCATATATATAGTTAGTGATTTAAATGCTTTAAGCTATTTTTTATTTTTGCTAATATATTGGGAGTGTATGTTAGTTAGAAAGATATGATTTTTAATACACAGCATAAATGGATTAAAAGATATTCAACATTAATATTATTCATACATATATAAATGAACATTCAATAAAATATATTTAAGATATTTACATCACAATATATAGTGAGTTGGTTATTCGTATAATAGTATTCAGTTTCCATAAAAACTTCCATAAATCATGTTCGTTCCGAATGCTAATTAGCTCAAAATTTATCTAAGCGAGGTTTGTTCTTTAAAATATGCTTATTGATTATGTGTATATATTAGATATTTATAAAAAAGATTTAATAAAAAAAATGAAAGACCTTTTGGTATATATAAAAATTATTTACGTGTAAGAACGCACATGAGACTGCAAAAAATTCGATCAAAGATCTTGGCTTCTTCTCCTTTTATCTTATATTACACTTGGAATCCAAAAAGGTGACTTGAAGTTCGCTATTATAAATATTTTGGAATGAGATATGCTACCTATGTAACGTCTCAAATTGTAAAATCCAAAGAACTCCAAAACCAAGATATTAAATATATATATAAATAAGATAGATATTAAATATATATATAAATAAAAATCGAAATAAGAATTTTACATTGTATATTTTGTTAATTTACCTGAAAATGACTATCGAAGATAGTCGAAATATCGGAAAAATATTTTGATTAAACATAATTTGTTTTTAAATATAAATAATTAATTATAGTTTTGTTATTTCTAATTAAATCGACCAATTAGTCTGCTAATAAATTATTATATAAAATTTTTGGTCACAAATAAAAGAAGAGAACCAACTAATTTCAAAAAAATTTTCTTTTTATTTTATATAAAAACTGAAATTAAGCTCTAATTAACTTTTATGACTTTAAATGTTTATTTATAAACAAATAATTCTACATTAGAATATATGTGCTAAATTAAGTATAACAATTATTTTTATTAACTCCATATTCAGTCTTAAATAGACAAAAAAAAAATGTTAAAATAATAAAAAGAAAAATAAATTACCTAAGCTCGTTGAACAAATAACAATCACCACCCACCCACTTCGGCTATCTATTATCCAGAAATAACAACAAAATTATTACGCCAACACACCCCTGTTCTAATATGGTATTGTATACAGATAATTAAAATTGTGTGTGAATTTAATTAACTAATTTAACATTAAGAAATTCATCAAATTTTAAGTTTAACTTTTTGACTATCATTTAATCGACTTTTTATGGTATTCCAACATATGGTTTTGTACATTCATTCCTAAATAAATGATATGTACTCAGAACATCCCTCGTCTTATTGCTTGCTTTATGGTTAACCATCTGGTAATCCAAAACACAAACATTTTTATATAAATATAATATGATCTATAATAGTTATTTTGTATGAGCATTATATGATATAACATAAGTATAACCAATTTAAGCATTTATATGGTATATTTCATTTAACTCTGGAATTATAACAGGATCGCTTCCAATTAGTTTAACAGTGAGAGACTAGACACAAACATTTTTATATAAATATAATATGATCTATAATAGATATTTTGTATGAGCATTATATGATATAACATAAGTAACCAAATTAAGTATTTATATATTTCATTTAACTCTGGAATAACAGAATCCCGGAAAAGGTACCTTCAAATCAGTTCAATAGTGAAAGACTAGTTTGAAATCGTTAAATCGATTCATCATATCATGTTGAATAAGATTATATAGCATTTGTTTGGTCTACAATATTTCTCTTACTTACCATGTTACAATCATATTGACAAATTTAATATACCCTTCTTTAACAATAGTGTTAAAGGTATAATAAAGAAAACAACTTTGTCATTTGGTTAAATAATTAATTAAATATTTGAAGACTACAAAGAAGACATAATTTCTGTTAAAAAAAGTATAAACGTTGTTTTATAGCTTTCTTTTTTCTTTAGGTTATTTATTTTTCAGATTAGATGCTTTAACATTGTAGTTTTCCTTATGTACGGAATTGACGATTAAAGCTTCCTCTTTTATCAAATAAAAAATCATATTCAATTAAACTTTTTATTACTTCAGGTAACATTTTTAAGCGCACTTGTCGTCATTGTGATTACGTACGGGTAGGGTATTTGTAGCTGTCACCCAAGGGCTTCATACAACGTAAATAACGTAATTTAGCGTGATTTTGTTTGGTCAGGCATTTTACATGCTCTTATAATCATGAAACTACATGTATATAAGTACGAGTTTCTTCTATAAATATAAATGTATTAAAATATTTATTAGTTTAGATTTATTTTCCTTTTTTAGTACATACTAGTATACTTAAATGAGCGCACAATGTAAAATTTTGATTTTGCATTCAAAAGTTTCCTTGTTTGTCTATAAGTATATTCTGTCCATTTTAAGTAAGAAACGAAGCTTTTCAATAAAAAAATTGAATTTTCCATTTTCTTCTTTCTCTGCTTATTAAGGTTCAACAACCTCGAAGTGTATTATTGAGCTGTGCAATATAGGGTAGTGTAAAACGTATTAGTGAAATTTCTTTTCGTTGCTTGTAAATGTGCTACCATCCACTAGTATGATTATGCAAATATGCCTTTCTTAGTACGTAGATACATTTAAGTACTTGCATAAATTTGTTTTCTTTTGCTAAAAAGCTTTGTATATGCCCAGTCTAGTATAATAGTTAAATTTAACTTTGTGTAGTGATTTCATGTTATACATATGGATTAAAAAGGATAATATAAGTATATGTATTGTATTGCACAGGCATTCCATATTTGAACACCCATATGTTAAAAACTATTTTTAACGTATAACGTACTTAATGTATGGTCACCAAAACACTTGTTCCTTTTCATGGACTATTGAGTACCACGAAAAGAATTTTTTAATTTACTTTATTTTTCAAAAATTTTTAAAATTCTTGTTTAAGTTCACTTTTATTTTTTAATCGACTGATTTCTTGGGCTGGCCATAAAGCTATTTTGGATACTACAAAGTATCCATCATCAGTGGTCATTCGACACATTTATTTGTTTATTTGTATCCGCCAAATTCATGATGTACTCAGCCTAGGAAATTTTATACGAACAATCAATAGATATTTCCAAACACTGCCAACGTTGAATATTAGGCGGTATCTAAAACAAGTTTACGGTCAGCTTAAGAATTTACTTCATTACAAAATAAAAGTTTTGGAATTGAAAATTTCCTAATTATTATTTTCCATTTTCTATTCCATTTCCATTTTCTATGTGTAGAATTCATGTCATAGAATAAAAAAAATTCTAATTGTATTCTTATAAAATCTTCACAATCTTAGAGCAAAATAGTTTATAAATCTTAAAACTTCTTACATACGCTTTATTAATATTAGTATAAGGTGTTTATAAATCTACAATATATATTATACACTAAAGATAAGGACTTACATACTACTAATCAGACTGAAATAAGCAATTTGTTATATTTCCTAATTACAAACTATTGTGCCAAAGGAAATGAAGAAATAGGCATGATTGATGGTAATATACGGGATGAGGCCTATAGAATCAGCCATATTTCTATTAGATATTAGTGATTTTTAAGCTATTTATAAAATTTTATACCGCTTTTATGTCGATATAAAGTTTAAATGTCTTTTGCCAATGCAGAGGTGAAATGGCAGTTGCTAATAGCAATATTAATAGGAATATGTAAATTGCAGCACAGGACGCTACCTAGTAGAACACCAATCTTTATAGATTAAATGTGGAATGTAAAGATAGTATTTTTAATAATAAAACCTATAATTTGTGAATAAGATTCCATTACTGAGTATATATTTGATAATATTATGGTTCGATTATATGAATAAGGCCGCCATACCATAATCTGTTGAAAACCAAGTTAATATATAGAAATAATGTGGAAAAGTATTTCACACTGTTTGAATACATATATTTTAAAATTTATTTTCCATATATTGACATATATAGTAAATAAAATAAGATAGCACGCTTTCAATATCATAACAACACATTATATTTTAAGATGAAGTTAGAGTGTTTGTAGACTATGTATCAATTATATCATGTATTATCATTAATTAAAGATGAGATTATAGATATTTAATAGTGTGAAAAATTTAATTCAGCTTTTAATAAATACTAAATTGATATATATATAACAATAAGTAAACATATTATTTATTTGAAAAAAAAAAAAAAACTAAAATTTTTTTTAGGATTTATATTTGGACTCTAAAGTTTGTATTAAAAACAAAAAAAATACAATTAGTCAGGAATTTAGTCAATAGATTATATTGTATAAATACTAATTCAATTCAACTCAGTTTACGCTTCTGATGCCAAAAGAAATTATTATTGCAGAATTTAATTAAGTCCTATTTTAATCTCTCATGAAAATATACTTATATAACTAAAAGATCTTATAAAACTGTTTTGATATTCAGATATGTTATGTTGCATTTTAGGACAATGACGCTATCCTTCTTGACATGTAATCTCAAATGGAACTTTACTTCTTGACATTCTAGATCATATAGTTGAATTTTGTTATATCACCTAAATTAAGTTAATGTAATAAATAATATTAATAATATAATGCATATATCTATAGATAATATAACTGCAAAACCATAGATATATATATCGTAAAACTATTGTTTGCTGCGGTCTTAAATGTAATAAGGATTTTCATGTCTTAGTAAAATTCGATTTTAAAGACTATAATATCTTATGTGTTGATAAAAATTCTATCTATATGTATAGTTTAAAGTCTCTATATATCGTTATAATTACTTTCTCTGTCTTTTTGGTTGCATAAAAATATAATTTTATGTGGACTCACTCACCTCTTTTTAGTCTTGCCAACATTGTAGAGTTCAACATGTTTAAATGCTGCATATGTGGCCATTTCTTATAATTTTTTTTGTTTTTTGTTGTGTTAAAACTTAAAATTCAGTTTGAATTTTTCGATTTTTTTTTATAAAAATCTACAGAACCAAAAAATAAAACATTACAATTTTATTATTTTAAATAATTAATTTATTGTGAAATATTTTAAATTATTTTTGAATCAACTCATCACTTTAATTTCCAAAAAACGGAGATAATCTTACAGAAATTCTGCTGCCACCCACCTAATATAATTAAAGTCTAAGTAGAATTGCAAAAAATGTTTCCTTTAAAAAATAATTTATATTTATTTAAAAAATTTGTCGGTTAACAAAAATTTGCTGATGGAAATAATAATAACGGAAGTCTTGAGAAGTTTATTTTAAGCTGCCAAACTGGGAAATAAAAAACCGCATGAGCAAATGTAAAAAGCTGCACACATCTTGCCCACGTCATAAACGCATACAGTTATAATATAAAGAAAAATGTACAATTAAAAATAATTTGGAAAGAAAATCAATAACAGTTTATAAAATATTAAACTGAACAGCACTGCATCCAACCGAATAGGGATCGGTTTGAGTCTTGCATGACTTTGGGGACTCTTCAAAATGTAGAGAAATTCTGGCAATGAGAACAGTTTCGCTGTTCGTTTGCAATGCACTAGAAATGACTTGAAATGCACACAGCGTGATGCACACACAGGATGCTGTAACAGCAGCATGGCAATTACATTAAAAACTTTTTACACAAATATTTTAGGTTCTAATTTTTATTTACATTGAAATTCAAATAAATTTTAAATATTTCACAATAAAATTGTAAATTTTTTTTTTTAATTATTTCAGCAAAATAATGAACTCACAACGAAACACAGTTTATCACTTCTTTAATAATTTATTTGCTTTGATATTTGCAACTTTTGAAGGATTTACTGCACTTTATAATTTTTATGAATTATAAAAACTATTTGCAATAATTTTAATAAAACTTTAACTTTTTATTCACTTTTTGGAATCTTTTTTTTATATATATATATATATATTTTTGTAGAATTAAGTTTCTTTCTACCCCAACAAAAATTTCAGTTGCAAACGTTTCGATATTAAACTTTCGACTGCATCAAAGTTGGAAAAGTGAAAAACGTTTTATACAAAAATCGATTCAAGCGGTGAAAAACCACTTCGCAACAAAAACATTGCTCTTGCAGCATAAAACTAACCATATACGTGGTAAAAGGAGAGTGGAGCATAAATACAACTTTCAAACATTGTAGCCGTTCCAACGCGATTAGGTTAGGTTAGGTTAGATGTTGAGTGTAATTCTTCTGTATAGCAATGGCACGGAACAAATGTACACGAACAATTACTACGGACATGTAGTCTCGAATGGTTGTAACGAGAGCTTTTCAAATATTTGTATATTTTGTTTGTTTAGTTTATACTACAAGTTATTTAAATTATTTATTATTTGTTTTAAGTCATTTATTATTTATTTAAAAATATTTATTCTAAGTTATTTATTTAAAATGCTTAATTTTAAATTAATTAAACAATTTTAATTAATTGTTTTAATGACAAACATTTTTTATATATTACTATTACTTTACTTTTAAAAATAGATACAATTTATTATTTTTTTAATAAGTGGTATAAACAATTAAATTTAACTTTTTTCATTTATTACTGTTACAAAATATTTTTAAATAATTTTAAAACTTATATCCTCAATATTTAAACATTAAATGAAATACAGTCAAACTCCCATAACTCGAAGTATTATTTTGTAAAGAAGAGGTTCGACTTATGGAGACTTCGAGTTAAGAATTTTTTTATTTTTTTTTTTTGAAAGAAACTAGAATTTCATTTTAAGATGTTTATTTATTTATTTGAAATCAAATACAGCACAGAAGTTATAGTGAAGTAAAATATTCAGAAATTAGGGTTTGGGATTTTAATTTTTTTTTTCTAATTTTCAGTAAAAAAATTTTTTGAGTTTATTCCAAGCTTTATAGTGATTATCAATTGTAGTATCATTCATTTGCAAATCAAAATTCAAAATTTTGAATGAGTCTCATATTTCATTTTTGAAAGACTGATGAACAATTTCATTGGTTTGGAAAAAGGAACTTCCCATAACAACATTCCCATTCATACTTAAAACAAAAATTCAACTTTTAGAATGCACTTTCCATATTCCTATTGGCACGTGACAATATTTTTATTCGAGTTATGAGTTATGAAGGAGAATTGTATGTAATTTGCTCTCTAAAACTCTGTTGCGTCTGTAATAGAAAATTCGAGTTATAAAACTTCGAATTATGGAAATTTGACTAGATATGAAAATATTTATAAAATATTAAATATACTAATTTTTAATTGGTAATTTTAGTTTTAAATTAAATTGTTTCAATAAATTTTAATATAAATTGAAACATCTAATCTTAACAATTCCTTAAGTATTAAATTACTTTTATTAAATTTACAAAATTTATATTATATACGCATTACAAGCATATATAATAATTATCGAATATATTTTTAAAAAAAAAAATATAAACAAATTCCAACGTTTGTGCCTTCAGTAAATTTTCGTGTTTTTACACAATACTTTTGGCGTATTTTTTTTTTTTTTTTGATATCTCAGTTTAAATCAGTCAAATTTTGTTGTTGATTTTTAAGAGAATGTAACTACAAGAAAATTTGAAGTTGCACAAGTAAAGGGAAAGTAAAGTGTGCAATGTGTTTGATACAAATGTTATTCACCACACCAAACGAAGAAAATTTTGAGCGAGTTGGTGTTTGAGTTTGATGCAAACCCAACATAAAATATGTACGGTTGAATGCGGTTGTAGTTAGTGTAAGCTCTACAACATGATTTTCTTATATGCATAATTTTATTATAGCCCATTCAATAATAAGGCCAACGGCAAAGAGATCAGCATAAATGCATTTAAAAGTATGATTACGACTTGCATTTAATTGATATTCATGCACTTGAGGGCAATACCAATATTATTCACAACCTATCCTAACGAGAAAAACAAGAAATTTAACTCTCCTCTGGTTTTTATTACATTTTACAACAAGATGGTAACTTCTTGGGATCACCGTTCTAAACTACAAATGTATTGTTGAGAATTCATTGACAAATTTTCATCAGAGAAAAAACCATATGTTTATATGGTTACTATAGTCAAAATATTGGGAACCAAAGCGTATTATTTTGTATTAATAATTGGTTAGGTGGTTCAAGGTGTTTTAGTTACTCAACAACTAAATTTGGCGTTAATATGTTTATTACCGAAAAAAGTTAAGCTTTTTTAAACATCGAAAATGGTTTTAATTCTAGACTTTTTCTTTTATACGTCGTTAATATTTATGTTCTATTTGCATTTCAATTTATATAAAACTTCTATTTCTTTATTCTGTAACTGCTGAAACAATCACTATTATCTTTTGTATTATTATAAAAAATTGTATTATATATATGTATAGAGTATGATAGAACATGGGACTCATTGGTATGTTTTTGTTATTGGTTTGAAGGATGGAAGAGTCAAGGCTGCGTTAAAACTCTTTCAAAAGCACTTTTATTACGATATAAATGAAGTGTTCTTAAGAAAATATGACTTTTATAAATATGATAACGAAAACTGTTGATAGTAAAACCGATTTCGATTTTATTCAAAATAGTGGCCCATATCGAATAAGTGTTTTTAATCATTCTATGGGATATCTTGAGGAAATTATATATTCCGAAAAGTTAACAATGGCATGATATCTGATAAGTACGGAGAACTGTGGACCTTTTTGACGTTTGTAATTGCATATCTATTGGCTTCAATACAATTATATATTTTTAAAACATAACATTATATCTATATAATTTTAAGTATATTGTTTTTTAAGTAGGTGTTATTATTTAAATAAAAATAAATTCATATAGTTTCTCGTTAGATGATATAGTTAAAACTACAATTATTCTATTAAACTTTATTCAACTAAAAAAAATTTTTATTTAAATCTACACTGGATGAGTTATTAATAGCTTTTTACCGTAATTCATAAGATACTAATAGTTTCAATTAAAAACTGCTTTTTCCTCATTAATTAAGAATGCGATTTCTTTAAATTAATATTTTATAATTTAAGTTAAATAATGTATAAACATCATTTTCTTATTTTTATTTGTTGTTTTGATTCTTTTCCATTAAAAAATCGCATTTAGATTTATACACAAACGTGTAGATACTTAAAACACTTAAGCAGAAAAGCTACCTTTGAGTATAAATAATACTAATTACTATACATATGTATGCAATCATTGTACGCTATTTGCTCACATATTTCTTTGTCACGCTCTGCTGAACATAGAGGCAAATTTTCCTCTAGCTGATTTTGGTATCATTATTAAGATACTATAAACAACGACTATAAACTGCGACAGCACAAAAACTGCAAGATATTTCTTAAATGTATTTTAGTTTACTTAATTTGTTTTTCCATGGAAATGCTAAATGCTAAATGCTAAATATACGTATGATAAGTATTAAAATTTTACATTTTTACAGCAAAAAAGCAAAAAAAAGTCCATGACAGAATGGAAAGTGTCTAAATTTAATGTTTTTCATAACTGTTCATGGAACACTATAATACTTATTGTACTTGTTGAGAGCTTATGCAGTTATTAATTGTTTTTTAATAAATATATGCATTTATATATGAATTAATTAATTAAAATTGTTTAAATAAAATGAATACAAATTAATTTATACAAAGAAATCTATAAAAAACAAAACCAAGATATTAAGTTAATCGAACTAATTTACAGCAACAAATTTAATACAACGAATATACTGATCTCACAGTTAAAATTTAGACAATCATACATATTTTAACACATAAACTACTTTCAATATCAGTACCGTTGTCAAAACAATCTCAACATACAAACTTGTTCATGTAAAAGTTGGGTTGATATTCGGTGCATAACTCCGCTACCATTGTTTTTATTTTTATTTTGAATATACATTTGTACACATTTGTATACATTTATGGTATCATTTATTTGGAATAAAAAATTCATAATAAAAAATAAATTAGCTCTTGTTTTGCCGTAGTTTCAACACCCTTTACACATACAGTTACTCTACAAAATGATTATATATTGAGAAAACGACAGGGTTCTGGGACCGTATCATTGTGATCATATATAGTAAACTGGATTCTTGTGATTATAGTAAACTTTAAGCTAATGATTGTAATAAGGAAATTACAAATTTGATCACCAACCAAATTTTTAACTATGCTTCTAAATGTATTTCTAAAGTTTCCGGACATATACTGGTACCGGTCCGTGCGATACCCACTACATTTAATCTTTTTGGTCGACAATATGTTTTGGGTGTGTTTCATCACTGCATCACAAACATTATGACAGACTTAGTATACCGTTTAGTCAGATGAGCGTAAAGGGTATAATAAATGAAGCAGCTAAGAAAAATGGCAAGAAATACAAACTTTTTATAATTATTTTATATGGCATACATTTACTTTGATAAGATGCAGTACATTTAACATTTAGTAGCAATAATCAAAAAAGACATATACAGTATTTTAAACGAAATAAAAAACCCAAATATTACAAAAGTAAAAATGGTGGATACTGTCCCCATTTTGAAGTAAAAATATATGTTTACTTACACTATGTTGACATTTAAAACTCTTAGAAATACAAACAATTTGCCACTTGACACCTAAATCTGCATCTAAAGTGCAGCAACTAATATACGACACTTTACGCCCAACAACAGATTTAACAGGCTTCCATGTGAAAGAAAAATAACAAGCACAAAGAAAAAAGTATGCGATCTTTTAGTGTACACTTTTTGTACTAATGTCATTCATCTAGGCTATTTTTATATAGAGCAAATTTTCATACCAGGAAGGAAAATTTCTATGGGACTTATATATTCTGGTAATGTACGCAGCACAAAATTTTATTCTCTACATTAAGACTGAAAAGTTTTCGGAAATTCTCATTTAAAATTCGCGCGCTGTATATTTTTCGATATTTTAAGTTTATGTAGTTTGGCAGCACTGTCCTTAATTACTATGCC